AGTAATCCCTTACTTTACTCGTTAAAGTTACAAGTAACGCGTTACTGCCCATTTCTGTCGAGCAGTGGTTAGCACTGTTGCCTCACAGCAAGAAGAAGCTGGTTTAAATCCAGTAGACAGCTGGGGCCACTGGGTTTGGATGTACGACCCTTTGACTTTCTCGTTATGCCTTTTTCCATCACTGTTATTAAATGGAGGTGAAATACCTGCAATTCTTGTAAGAGAGCATGAAAGTGCAATGAACAAAATACACGAGTTGGAAGCTCGACTGACCCGTCTTGTTGGGAATCATCTACACGAGTAACACATTCATAAAATCCAGATTTGGCCTGAAATTTCCCTTTTTCAATACCCACGCTGTTTTTTGTGTTTCTATTTTGTTGTTCACATATATTCCCAAAATAAATACGTGTGAAGGATTAAGCAGGCTGGGGCTTTTAAGCGACGGAGGTGAGAGGTCGAGTTTGTTTTGTGAGCAGACTCGGACCCACAACTCAACAGCCATCAGTCAGTCTCCTCTCACAGTCATCACATCCAGTTTTAATGGGTAAAAAAGCAAAAGTTTCACTAAAATCAGCCTCTATAGCCTCATCAAGGTTGATTTTTATGTTCACAGTGGGTTTGTGAGTCATTCGCTGTATATTAGTTGCATAAAACATATTTGCTGCTCTATCATCGCATATTCTGGGAGCTGGATATTCAGACACCTTATCAATAATCCATCATATGTCTGCCGAGGTGAACATACTGCTGCTCCTGGACCAGCAGTCAGCACTTATTACAGAGGATATTAGATGCTGCATTCAGCCTTCTGTAAATATTACCAGTGAAATGCAACACAGAAACTTGTTAAACACATTTTCTTCCAGGTATAAAGTTTTGTGGTGTTTTTAAAAAATAAACATCTAACTGGGACTACCTTTGCTGGGCAAAACCTTTGTTTGCATCACCGCATCAGTCAGTCTGAAAAGTAATTGGCTTAGCTGTAATAAGCTACTGTTTGTTTTCTCTGAGGCAGAAACCCATTAATGGAACAAAACTACTCACAAATTAACATGCAAACTAAGTAGAGACTGTCGTCTTCAGTAGATAAACAGATTACGCATGTTCTCGGAAGAGACTTCACAAGGTCATACCTGACTGCAGTGGGCTTGTTTATCTAGGATGGATTCATTTTCCATGATGTGCAGCTTGAAAGGATTTAGCTCAAAGGTCTTTAACTTGACCTTGAATGTTTCCATACCGAGTACTAATGCCCTGTGAATCTGACAGCTTTGTGATATACTTGACATCAACACGTGAAGCAGCGCTCGGTGAGGACACTGTTTAGTTTCACTATGATGTCACAACCATGGACTTAAAATCTGTGGACTCTTCTGGAAACTGTGCGTGTGCATTGACTGCATGCATGCAGCACGTCACGTGTCGCACGGATCGGGGAGCACGGTCCTGGGTCTGTGTAGGTTCTCTCCGGGCGCTGCAGCTTTCTCCCACACACATGCCGTTAGACGGGTTCGATGACTGGTGATTATAAATTGCTGTAGGCGTGAATGCAAGTGTGAGGGATGCCTTTCTGTCTGCGCTGGCCCTCAGATTGGTGATCTGCCTCAGGTGTACCCCACCTCTCGTCCTATGGTAGCTTGGATAGGCTCCAGTCCCTCCCAAAATTCATCCTGTACTTGGACTGTTACCTCAGAACAACACTTTGAACTTGATCCTGCTGGGAGGAGCTTTCCGTCACCACATACTCTTTACTGTAATCCCAAACCGTGGTCACAAATCCCCTTCTGAGGCAGCAGCCCCTCACTTTTTTATCCTTATGTCACATTCCTCACCTGGGCCACAGTCCTCCCCCTCTGACCCTGGACAAAGAAGACTGAGGTGGGGGGAATGGGGGTGTTGCATCAGTGTGAAGTTCAATGGTGAATTAGGCAGACTGGGGTCATATAGGTCGATTGCATGACAGAAAAGTCGTCTTTGTTACTTTTTGTGTCCAAAAATAAACTTTATGGCAGAGAAAATGTAAATTTTTAACACTGGTCTCACTTATGCTTGTGAATCTGTGATTCTCCAGGTAGTCGTCTTATTCTTCATCCCAAGCCCAACTCAGTGCAGTGGTGTCGTCTGTGAAGTCTCACCTCAGACAGTCTCTGCCACATGAGAAACAAAGGACTTACACCTTCTGTGCAGCAGCAAGCTTAGACGAAAACACCCCCGAGTGTCTGTCATTGTTCACACTGTGAGATATGAGGCACTTGCTAGCTTGCTGAAGATCAAAGACACTGGCGTCCACCAGCAGATGGATATGTTCATGTGATTTTGTGCTGCCACAATGTTTAAATGAGACATCTCTCTCATGCTGAGCCTTCAGCTGTCTCGTTTGGTTCCTCGATTTTATCAAACAAATGACCACAGCCTCAAACAAACGGACAGCCGGGCCAGTGCTTGGCTCGGGCCTCCAGGAGGGGGGGGGAGTGCATCCTCTGGTGTTTATCAGGCAGAGCGCTGGCACACAGTTCAGACTGAGGAGTCCGGATGTTACCAGAAGCCATGCAGGGCTCTTCTGTGCTGCTGCTGCTACTGAGCTACGTAAGTCTGGCTGCACTGAAGTACTTTTATCTCTGAAAAATACTGCTGATATACTTCTGTTTAATTTTTCCAGTGGACTGTCAACTAGTAGTAGAAGCAGAAAGTGTAATTATTTCTGTTTAGGTTAAGAGTAAAGGTACAAGGCTCTGAAATGTAAAGGAAAAACCAGATCGCTGTAGATTTCTCACTCATCTACACTAAGAATCACTTTACTTACATTTACTGTTTTCACCTGCCTTTGCTCCTCTTCTGTTTCTCTCAGTAACTGTAGCAATTAAATAATTTTGTTTTATTTACACGTTTCAAGTAATTGGCTCTTGTTATATGTGCAAATGAAACAATCATCGATGGTGGAGGACTTTTACTTCAACTGTAGCAACATAGCAAATAAAATATTCTCTCTGCAAAAGAATAATTTCACCCCTTAAAATGTTTTGACCTTCATATTAGTCACAGACAGAAGAGGTCAGTGTACTAAACCTGCCTGAAGGACAGATGCATGTTTTCACAAAGGAATCGATTATTGGTCATTTTTACCTGACATATTTATTGTTCACATAGATAATTTTTTGGTTTTGTCTGGTTTTTCTTTGGTTATGAGAGATTTAAACACCCTTCTTTGTCAGCTTTTTCTATACAGAAAGAGCAACAACAAAATAAAGCATTATGTCATCTGCAGGACAGTCAGACGACATAATAATAATCTAATATTATGTCATAATATGCTAAATACAGTAAAAACTAAGGCACCACTGAATGGTAATGTATATAAATGTAGTAAAACATCTGAAGTCTGTTTGTGTGAGATATTAATGTTGCTGATTCTGGCATCCCCGTGTGGCCACAGCTGAGACCATGTAGCATGATGAGCAGCGTTTATATGTACAGAAGAAATGACATTTCTCTGAGCAACGAAATTCTTCCTTTGCTGTCCGTACACAAATACCACGTTAGTTTAAAAGAACAAGATAAATAAAGATAAATAAGGATAAAAAATTATGGAAGATAAATAAATAAGTAAGTGAAGACAAGTGAGGTATGCAGATGTCGATGTCCACCACAATAAAAACAGAACTCACCTTTTTAAAGTATAAGTGAGGTTTTTCCTCTGGTATTTATATGTGTTTAACATGCATCGACTTCTGTGAATCATAACATTTCATGGCAAAGACTTGGTTTAAGGTTGAATCTGGGGTCAGGATTAAGCAAGTAGTAGTTATAGTTGGGCAAACCTCTGCCTTCAGCAGCTGAGCATCGCCGTGGCGATGAGAGCATCATGTGCTCATGTCTAACAGACACACAACGCTGTGACAGTCAACAAACAAACACATCGTTTGATTTCTGACAGCGTTTTATTTTTCCTGTTATCAGAGATCGTTAAGGTGTCTAAAACACACTAGATCAGTTGTTGCTGCTGCTCATCCTAATATATATGTGTTCCTTTTACGGATGATGTCTGTGTTATGTGGAGTGTAGCATAACTGGTTTCTATGCTTTAGCTTTCTTAAAGTAATCAAGAGTTACTAACAGTTATACAGATTTGATTTAGATGCCAGCCTAAGCTGCAGGCTTTCAAAGCTGGACTAAGTTACAGGGTCAGTAATCTCTACACAACAAAGCTGAAGATATCTGCTAGGATTAGCTGGTGCACACCCACGCAGTAGCATTATCTGATAGTGTGTACACCCTTTAGTAATGTCTCCTCAGCCCTACAGCTTCACGCTTCAAGTTCATAAGGCCACACTGTGCTGCCCTGTTTGCTTTTCTGTTAACAAATAAGTGTGAATCTATGACATTTAATAACATTTTTCCATAGTACAGTCTGTGTTTGTATTGGCCGGTGTGTCTGGGGGAAGCCACAGAGGGAGCGTTTGTCTGCGAGCTGAGTAACTGTGCTTTGGACTTGTGTGTGAATCCACGAGAAGCAGTTTACTGAGGAATGTCATTTAGGCATCAAATGCTTTAATTAAATGTTTAGCAAAATGAAAACTGCAAGATGGTTGAAAATGGACTAAAATGTGAAATATCTTCACTGTGGTCAGATTTGCCTGCAGGCTGGATCTGTAGATGAGACAAACCTTCAGCCTGGAGTCAGAGTATCATCCAGTTCAGAAAATTCCCCTCAAAGCTCGACTTCGCAGGCTGGTCACACTGAGGTGACGCCAAGGCTGGATCCAGTAAGCAGCGCTTCCCCTTTGAAGTCGCATCCTGATCCTCCCATACGTGATGGAAACGCCAAAGTATTGAACAATCATGCAGATCTAGATACAAATACTACAAGTTCAACCAACAGAGAAGCAGACGAGCCAAAGCCGGAACCGAGGCCTCGCTCTTCGACTGGAAATGAGCAGCTTTCCAAGTCACATCTTAACATAACTGGGACGGGGAGCTCAGAAGCACAAACTGCCGAGATGACAGTTGCCAGCCCTAACATTCAGTCTGAGGACGCCACAGCTGCAGCTGCCTCATCAGGAACTCATACAGAAACAAAAACAGGGACGGTTTCATCTATTCCTGCTTCAGGATTCACCACAGAATCTGTTGCTTCCACTGTGGACCCTTTACCAGAAAAAGTGGAAACAGGCAAAATTAGACAACAGGCTTTGTCATCAGTGGTTACCAGTCCAGTCCCAGTAGTCGCTATTCCCTCCTTTAAAGACTTCAGAACAACAGAGGAAGACGTATCAGTGGAAAGGGCAGCTACGGTTGTAACCCCCACACTACAAAGTGGAGAAGCTCTGAGTCCCAGGGTCACAGAAACTGAGATGAGTAATGTTTCAGCCAGTGAGGAAATAGAAAAGGAGGCAATGGAAGACACGTTTGAGACTGTTTCACCCACAGGAAAAACAGTCCCGTTTCAAGGTGGAGATGGAGTTAATGGGACGGAGACAGATGAAAATGAAACAGATCCAGAGGTGGAGGAAGGGCATGCAGACGGTGACAGGTTTTACAGTCATCCCTCGCCTGATTTGATCTCCCAGTTTAGCACCGTAGGCTTCAGCATCCAGTCAGAGACTGAACCTCCACAGCAGACTGACAGAGCAGCGAATCCGCCTCCTACAAACACAGTCAGACGTCAAACACCTGGGATCAGAGGTCAAAGGGTAGGAATTTGTTCATGCTTTGCAGTAACTATGTATGAATAAGACTTGATTTCACTACTGTAGCTATTTTTACCTTTGTGGGTCTTGGTACTATAAACAAAGATTCATTCACATTGATTCAGAGTTTTAATGAAATTATAAACAAAGCACACAGGAAATTTTAATCACATTTGTCTGATATTCTCGGCTTATTTACGGCCGTGTCCTTGGATGAAATTGAATTTGCACAAAGCTGATTTGATGACTACGATGGCAGCATATATCTGTGTCAGTTCTAGCACCTAGAAAACCGTGTGTGTGTAGGGGAGGGGGGTTAGTCTCTCCAGTGAGATGTACTGGCTCCCTCCTCTGGCTAAACTGTGGCACTGTAACCCTCAGGCGTATTTGTAAGGTCATCAGCTACACTACACCTTTTTTCCTTTTCCCCCAACAAATATATATTTGGTTTATTATACATAACACACCCCCAGTTACACTCATGTTCAGTGTGTCATCGTTTAAAGTATAGTTTTGTTAAAAGAAAATTGTACATAGTGCGATCAGCTACATGAAATGTAGCCATATAACAACTTTTGAGTGATAAACTTATTTTAGCAACTAACAGCTTCCTCTTTCCTGAGAACATACAGATGTAGAAAAGGGGAACCTCAGCTTTGAGTTCTTGGAATAACTTTGTACACACATGTAACCAGCTTGTATAAATAATCCATATCAGGAAGATCATAATAATCCCTCACCAAGTGAAAAATTAGAGATCAAAGTAGAAGTTTAAAAAGGGCTGGATACAGACCCGACTGAATACATGTAAATACAAGAGGAATAAAGTGGAATAAACAAAAGGCTAAATTAAATTAGAGATAATTAAATTATCTCTAAATGGTAAATGGCCTGCATTTGTATAGCGCTTTTCTAGTCCCTAAGGACCCCAAAGCGCTTCACACTACATTCACACACTGGTGATGGCAGCTACATTGTAGCCACAGCTGCCCTGGGGCGCACTGACAGAGGCGAGGCTGCCGGACACTGGCGCCACCGAGCCCTCTGACCACCACCAGTAGGCAAACATGGGGTTAGTATCTTGCCCAAGGATATTTGGCATGCAGGTAGGAGGCAGCCTGGGATCGAACCACATGACCTTCTGATTAGTGGCTGACCTGCTCTGCCACCTGAGCTACAGCCACCCAAAATTATCTCTAATGTATTCAAACTAATAATAGCAAGGATAACAACCTGTAAACTGGTATTAACAATGAAACATAGTTGGGATGACGACCATGCCCAGAATGAATAGAATGAATGAAAGCAGATATTTCACACGAAGACATATTAAATGAAATAGAGAGATGCATAAGGTATATTAAGGTTGTGTCATCGTTCAGCCAAGGAAAGTGTGTGAGAAGGAAAATGTCTCCAGCTTGGGAAAGGGTGAAACTGCAGATCACCCGCAGCGCTTGATGGATACAAAATAAAATATAAATAAAATATTGTAATATACTATTGCTGTTATATATATATGTATATGTATATATATATATATTAGGGGTGCAACGATATTCGTATCGATATTGAACCGTTTGATACAGTGCTTTCGGTTCGGTAAGCATATGTATCGAACAATACAAAATTTGTAATTTATTTTATCAACTTTCCTTCTGACGATGCTGTCTGTGTTGAGCGCTCAGTGAATCTGTGTTCGACTACTCCGCCTAGGCTGCACTGTCGAGCGCAGATCCACTGAGCGCTCAACACAGACAGCATAGACAGAAGGAAGAGCGCAGGGCAAGCTAGCGAGACAGAAGTTAAGCTCTCCTTGCAAGATGGACCTCCCCCACCCTCATTGAGATCTGGCGTTTGGAATTATTTTGGTTTTCATGTGAAGTATGACCCTGAAGGTAAGCGAGTCATGGACTAAAGTAAAACAGTATGTTGGATGTGCCATGGTGTGAACTAGTGTGTTAGCGCAGTTAGCTCGTTAACGTGTTGGCCGTCTAGCCCCATACACGGGGCTATCGGCGGTAGCTCGTTAACGGAGATTTGCCGTGTTGTGGCGTTAAGGTCATTTCAACGAGATTAACCTGAAAGCACTAGTGGGAACACAACGAATATGACTGCACATTTACACCGACATCATCCTAGTGCAAAGACAAAAACAACAAGCATGCTACTAACTTTAGCCGAGTCATTTAGACAGCTGTTAGCACGTGATTCTCCTTATGCTGCTGAGAATATAGCCCAGAAGAAGCGTATAGTAGAGCTTTTATTTTGAAAGAGCCATTTCTCTGTAATAAACTCTCTTTTCCAAAGATGAGTGATTCCTCAATCAGATACAGGGCTTGCAAAATCGCTAGCCCGACGTCCCGGGGCTAGCAATTTTTCCAGTCGGGCTACAAAAATCTCTCTGCCCTGCCCGTCGGGCTATTGTAGGAAAAATATATGTCAATGCTTTTGCATTCTTTCAGAAATGTAGCTGGGTAATTATGTCATTGGCATCGGTGAGCCACTGTCAATATGTGACATTGAAATCGCGTTTGAATTTGCGCTTGTTTTTTTGCTTTCACTTTGCAATGACAGCACTGATCTGTGAGTGATGATAATTTGCGCACCAATTCCTCTGACATCGTCTTATTAATCGTTAGCTTACTATGCAAACATGACAAGTGAAATCTCCCGCAGCTTAAACATGTGAGAGGTTGATCGCGCAGAGGATCGCTGAGCTTATGTGAGTCCGTGTGTAAAAGCAGCAGGATATATATTTTAGTTCTGCTGAGCCAAATAAGACAGGTCAGGGTGAAGAAGTGACAGCCAAAGAAAAGCTTACCACAAAACGGAGAAGTTATGACAAATGAGACTATAAGGCAAAAAGAAAGTGCAGCTTTATGGTTTCATGGACAAAAGAATTTCTGTGGCTGCGATATGATGAGCTAAATAACCAGGGCTGCACATAAGTGGTCCGCAGGTGCGCATTTGCTGTCAAAATAAAAAACGTGCACAAGGGTTAGGGTTAAATTTAAAAACTGTACTTTTGAGTTAAAATATATATTTATAATTTTAATAAATGACAAATTAAAAAGGCATGAACATTTTTTTGTATCGAAAAAATATCGAACCATGACACCAAAGTATCGAACCGAACCGAACCGTGAATTTTGTGTATCGTTGCACCCCTAATAGATATATATATGTATGTGTGTGTGTGTATATATATATATATATATATATATATATATATATATATATATATATATAAATAAAAAAATATAAAGATAATAACATTAATAATGACATAATATTAATATGAAGAGGCACCTCAGTCAGTTATGATGTGAGGTGGATAATTGTTAGAAGTAGTCTGCATCAAGCTTAAGGTTTGCTCAAGTTCAGTACAACGACATATGAGATGAAGGAAATAAAGAAAATATCTAAACTAATTAAGTGCATAGAGGCAGCTGACCTGCTTGAAAACCTGTCATCCTAGATGAGACTTTGCTGAGATGTAGAGCACACCTATACTAACAACTAATAAGCTAAACCCTGTAGACAACAGCTAAAGCTACAGGTTTGAGAAGCTGAATTAAATATGTGGACAATGCTAAGCTGATGAGCAAGTTACACATTTTGCTGCATGCTATTAAAGCTCACACATGCAGCTGTCTGTGAGCTCAGTTTTTTCCTCACACTTCTGATTTGTTTCTGGCAGGCAGCAGTTTTTTTTGTGTCCTGACTCGTGTGTAAAGCGTTCATGCCATCAGCAACTTGTTTTTGTTTTTTTGTTGGTTTGAAAAACACATTTGTGATCATACTTGTGGATCACAGTGACACATAATGATTAGGCATATGATTTACTAATGTCTTGTTTTAGAGCTGTGAGCAGTGCATCCACATTGAGATTAAAAGCCTGGTGCAGACTTTATATGAAGCTGCTATAGGAAGAATGGAACCTTGTGGGAAAAGTTCAAATAAAGAAGTTTTTTTAAATCCTAACTTAAAAGTTTGAAATATGTAAGATGTGTGAATTCTTTGAAAAAAATAGAAATGACCTAAAATGCCTTAAATAAAAATGTAGTGTTGCATCTACAAAGAAGAAGAAGACAGTAACTTAAAACTAGCATTACAGACAAATACAGTTTTAGCATTGCCTGACTATGATAAGCCTTTCTACCTGCATGTAGATGGAGGAGCAGGTTACATGAAAGCAGTTTTAACACAGGCATTTGGAGAAAAACAAAAGAAAGTAATAACTTGCAACTACTTAAGCTAACTGGCAACACTGTAGAGAGTCTTTGTGAGGTAAATATGGAGACTGTTTTAATGTTCTGTCAAAATGCCAAATTTCATCTTTAGTGCATAATATAAAGTTTTGGAGAATCTTGAGAAACAGTACGGGAGAAACTGCCTGTGGTATGAGGCATCACAAAAATTCAATTACTAGTGAAACTCATGGAAGCCAACTGCTTGAGACGATGGACCCAAACAAATCTCGTCGGCAGCTTAAAAGCCAGCTTCTGAGATTTGTTTGGGGCTGCAGCGCATGTTTCAGAGGTTGTTTGCACAAAGATCCCAAAAGCATCTTTGGTACCTCCTTCAGGAGGAACCATCCAGACATCATTCTCTTCATTAAAGGTCTTGCGTATCTCAGAAAGCTAATCGAATACAATGTTCTACACCTATTAAAATAGCAAGGCTTCACATTAAAAGCTCCCATGCAGAAGGTAAAATACCTGCATCTGCTCCAGATGTGTAAAAACATGTGTGATAAGTCAAAAACTAGTGCAACACATCAAATTCATAATGAGTGTGTATTTAAAAGAAATTCTAGTTTTACCCATCATGTTCACTTTGTAGTAATCTTAGTTAAAATCACTTTGGGTTCACATGATCCAATGACTCAGCTCTACTGTTTGTTTCAGGGATTGCACGGTTTACCTGGTCTACCGGGACCTAAGGGAGATAAAGTGAGTGTTAAATTAAACTTAATAAAATTCATCTTGGTGTAATTTAAGCACTTGTTCATAAATAGATATTGCAATGAGCTCGGAAGCATGGCTTACAATTGCGTTAATCTTCTTTTTTAGTTTTTTAGAGGCGTAGATTTGTTGGTTTCTTTTCACATTCACGTGTTTGTATTTTTCTTGGTGGTAAATTGTCTTCATGAATCTTTAATAAACTTTAAGTAAAATGTCAAATTCTTGTTCTTGTTCTTGGTTTTGTTTTGGGGGGTTTGTCTTCTAAGGGATACCCAGGCGTGATGGGCAGGACCGGGCAGACTGGATACAGAGGCCCCGTTGGTCCAGCTGGGATGCCGGCTATTGTTGTGTTTAAAACTTCTGAAGAAGAGTGGGAGGCTTTCAAGGTGAGCTGCTGCTGTGTTTGATGAAATGAAAACTATTTTAACAGACGTGTTCCAAGACTGAGCATATTTAATAAAAACAGGAGATGTACATTCTTCTGCTTAGCAAATGTAAGAAGTGTTAGTTTTAGTAAAATTGTTTAAATATTTATTTCTTGAATGTGTCATTTTTTAAGGATTTTTTTTAACATTATAAGATACTTTTGCTTGACAAATATATAGAGAACTGAAATAAGTGAAATCAGATTAACTGAGAGACAGGAAAATACAAACGTGATCCTTCTGGATCCACTGAATCATTTCATGTGCGATCTAGAAGAGACTGACTTGTTTCATTTGTACTGACTACGATATATAAGCAGTTTTAATGTTATTGGATCTTTAATTTTTCAGTGTCTGCTTGTGTTTCATTATATCACATGTTTGTCCACTTTCACTGCTGACGGATGCGTTCTTATAACTGTGACAATTTAAATCGGTAATTATTTCAGAGCCTATAGTTACCACTGCTGTGTTATTATTTTTAAAGTTTGTTTTTGTCAGGGTAAGTATGAATAAGCTTTTCTTTCTGTGTGTGAACGCTCAGTAATCATGATTGAAAAAATCCATTCTTCACTGTTTTCTTGCAGAAAAAGCAAATTTACAAAAAGCTGGTGTCCTCGTGGCCGGTAGGCGTTTGTTTTATAACATGAATGCACCTAAAATGACTTTTTACAGTAACTCCTTTCTTATAGCAGCTGAACTTTGGTACTCTGAGAAGATTATTTTTTTAGGTTAATCAAAAAATTATTCTTTGCACATTTTCATTTGAATGTTATAATAAGACATGTTGTGCCTGAGCTGTAACACTGTGTGTTTTTGTTCTCAGAGACTTAAAGGGCCTCCGGGTCCTCCCGGACCTCCTGGAGATGATGGACCAATTGTAAGTAGACAAAGACATTATGGCTAAATTCAACTTGAAAGTTTTACCTGACAATACAAATAAAGGACTGTAACTAGACTCCAGTGGTTACTTTTTCTCCAGGGACTACCTGGAATTCCTGGAAAGCAAGGACCTAAAGGAGTTCAAGGAATCATCGTACGTTTCTCTGATTTGTTTTTGGTTTTTTGCATCTGATTACTTGAGTGCAGGATCATGGGGCTCACATCATGACAACTAAAAATAAGTGTAAGGCAAAGAACATGCTAAGGTTCACGCACATATTGCAAAATGAGATGATTAATGCTTTATTGCAAAGCAGCTGACTATGTAAATATCAAATGTTTTTAGCGTGATTAGGACGATCAGTAGGGTGATAACTTGTATATTATTCTAGCGATATTATGGTGGATTAAGATATTAATATGATGCTTAAGTAGATGCTGGCTTGTTGTGGTTGGTCAGGACAGAGGTTTTAATATTTCCTGGATATATTTTAGTAGTAATAGGAATTCTGGGTAGAAGCAAATTTATATTGAATAGAGAGGAAAGATATTACTACTATTGTCTGTAAATCTGCTCTGTAATGTCTCGTGATTATTCTTCTACCTACTTTACATGTTGCGTTGTACTCCAGGGCAGTCCTGGTCCACAGGGTATCCTGGGTCCCCCGGGCCGACCTGGAAGAGACGGGACCCCAGGACACAATGCTGACCCGGGCCCTTCAGGTTTACCTGGAGAGCAGGTAAATCTCCTGGAAAACATGTATTTATTTCTTTTTAGTTTCCATGTATGGATTTAAGTTAGTCATACTGGTGCCTGGGGAATTAACTCCTTAGTTGTCCTTACAGGGTCCCAAAGGCTACACAGGAGAGCAGGGCAGCAAAGGGGAGCTGGGTGAGTGGGTAAGATTGTCCTGAACTTATAATGTTATCAGGATTATAACTATGGAGGCTTTAGCATGCACGTGCATAGACAGCATACATTCTCTGGCCTTTTTATTAGATACACCTGTTCAACTGCCTGTTAAAGGCAAATATCTAATCAGCCAATCACATTGCAGCAACTCAGTGTATTTAAGAACGTAAACATGGTCAAGATGACCTGCTGAAGTTCAAACTGAGCTTCAGAATCAGGAAGAAAGGTTATTTGAGTGTATGATATGGTTGTTGGTGCCAGACAGGCTGGTCTGTGTATTTCAGAAACGCCTGATCGACCATCACTAGTCTTTACACAGAGCTGATAGGAAGGCAGCAGTAATTCAGATAACTACTTATTAGGCCTGAGGTACACAGGAGACCTCTCTGGATGGACAAGAGAGACGGGCTACAGAAAAAGACCACAGCAGCTGCCATTACTGTCAGCTGGTCTGATGAGTCTCACCTATCAGATGGTAGAAAGCATGGATCCGTCCTGCCTTGTATCAACAGTTCAGTATAATGTTGTTGGCTCACCTGGTCCCCTCAGCACCAACTGAGCATCGTTTGAGTGCCACAGCCTGCCTGAGTCTTGTTGTTGACCATGCCCAGCCCTTACTGACTCGCCATCACAAAGTTCAAAGCACCTAAAACTGTTTTCTTGGACGTCGATGTAATGAAATGGCTTTCACAGTCACGAGGAACCTGTCACGGACTGAGTGGACTGAGTGAGGTGGATCCAGCAGCAGACACGGGCGAGAAGACGGAACTGAACTTTGAACGAAAGGCGAGCTTTTATTATGGCTGAAACAAAGTGGCCAGAACAGCTGGCACGACGCGGCAATAGTAATAATAATAGTAATAATAATACATTTTATTTGAGGGCGCCTTTCAAAAGAACAAAATTAATAAAAGGAGCAATAGTCATAAAATACATAAAATAAGTTAAAATTGCAAAACAGAACTTGACAACAGATAAAATCAGCACTAAAGTGAATAAGCCAGTTTGAACAGATGTGTTTTGAGCTGTGACTTAAATACTGGAAGAGAGTTTATATTTCTTATGGCTGGTGTCACGGCCTTTTATGTTCCAAACGCCAAAAAAGTCCAAGAAAAGGCCGTGGGTGGCAACGGGAGGTTTGTTTTCGAACGCACTTCTGACTCCATTGTTTAAAAAATCATCTGCCGTTTATTTCGTGGAAAATTATAAACAAAAATCAACCAAATAACTTCTTAAAACTTAAAATTAAACGTAGGTTAACTTAATTTGCTTTAACAACTTCAAAAGTGGTCAAAAAAATCATTTTTCGTCTTCCCATCAGACGTTTGGCAAACAAAAACCATCTTTACCACCCCAGGGTGCTCTTAATCCCCTGATTAATGGTAGGGTCCATAAGCCAATAAACCAATCACTTTCCAAAAAACTTTTCCAATAAAATGAATTACAAATTTACATAACAAAACTAGGTCAGCATATTCCTACAACTTTAAAGAAAAAACAAAAATGAATACAAATTGCATTTTATAAACATTCAACAAAAACGGCCACAACAGCTGGAGGAAGAGAGTTCCAGAGCCGAGGAGCGGAGCGACTGAATGCCTGATCCCCACAGTGGTGAGATGAGGGCGGGAAACAGTGGTGATATGAAGCAGGTCACACAAATAGGAAGGAGCAGATTTATGGATACACTTGTGTGCGAGAAGTAAGACTTTAAAGTTTATCCTGGCTTCTCCGGGCAACCAGTGAAGCTGCTGAAGAACTGGGGTAATATGAGCTCTTGAACAAATGAACAAAGGGAGACGGAGGACTTAAATACACACATGAGGTGATCAGGAGAGGTGGAGACACGTGAGGACTCGAATGAAAATATAAGGACAACACAGGGGAGAGAAACACTGGACACGCTAACATGAGACACGGACCTTCAAAGTAAAACAGGAAGCATGACAAGCACAGACTAGACGCTGAACTAAACCTAAGAACAAAACTCTTAACCAGAATAACACTGAAAATTAGGATTACATCTTCAAAACAGGAAAACTAAAGAATAAAAAAAAAAACATAATACAGAAAAAACACCGAAACACATGAAACTAAAACTGCTGAGTCAAAATGACCCAGCACCATGAAACCACTAGAAATCTGTATCTAATGATTTGGCCAGTGAGTGTGTATCTGTCTCCCTTTGCATTCAGCGACAGCCACTTATTTGTGCAGCTTGCTCATACTATTATAACTGTATATGTTAAAGTGTCAAAGATTTATATTAAGAGTCAAACATTTTCTCTGCCTGCAGGGTTATCAGGGCGAGGCGGGGTCACAGGGACCCAGAGGACAGAAAGGAGACAAGGTCAGACGAGTCATCTGTAGAACTGCTGTCGTTTTGCAGGAAGGCTGCACGGGATTCTGATCCGTGTCTTTGTGCCTACAGGGAAATAAAGGAGTCAGAGGCCACGCTGGGCTTCCTGGCTACATAGTAAGCTCAGATGACCAGCTCCATTCCCAGCACATTCAAAAAGTTGCTTTTTATTACTTAATATTTGTAAAACAGATGACTTAAATTAATTATTGCTCTCAAATTATGTACATTTTAAAGCTACATCTGAAAAGTCCAATGTTTACAGGGCACGTCCGGAGCAAGAGGTCCTCCCGGTTTCCCAGGACCGTCAGGGCCTTCGGTCAGTGTCACACAAACAGATAGAAAAAATGATCTGTGTTGGTGTTTCTACTGTTTCTACTTTGCATTCATTGTTGCTTTTCATTGTTTTCAGGGACAAACTGGGGATTTAGGCTTCTGTGGTCCGAGAGGCCCTCCGGTAAGTTATATCCTCCCACAAAACCATCACACTGAAAATTATTTTTAATTAAACCTGAGATACTATTAATGAGCATCTATTAATCTGCCTTCTTTTCAGGGCAAAATGGGTCCCGGAGGAGGAAAAGGTGTCCGAGGAATTACAGGACCAACAGTAAGTAAAGTAAACAAACTCAAAGTGGTGTTTGTTTGTTTTTTAAAGACATTTATAGAGCAATTATTTCAACTGTCAGGGTCATCAGGGTGAAATGGGCCCCAGGGGAGCAGCTGGGTCACAGGTGAGAAAACACTTATATTTGCTCCCTTTCTAGCAGACGTTGTCACTTACCTCAGTAAATGTCCAAAATATACATACGTGCATTGCTTTAGGGAGAGCCCGGTCCGGATGGAACAGTCGGGTTTCCTGGTGTTCGTGGCCCTCAGGTATTAGTAAAGCTTTTGTATAGCATGAAATGATCACGTGTGAAACAACCAACACGTTGTTCAGCGTTTGGTAAATGAAAGTTGCACGTTTTTGGTGTGGTCACGTGTAGTTTGTGAACAAAGGAAGGTGAAAATGAGATAATATTGATTAAAAACGAGAGTAGGAAGATAAACCTAATGTAACCTGAGTAAATCTTTTTAGGAGTAAAAAAAAAAAGTTCTTTATCACATGTTGAAAAATTAATTGTGAGTAAAACACTTTGATCAATGACCTCACAGGGAAACCCAGGCCCTAATGGACCTCCAGGTCCTAAAGGTAGCACTGTGAGTATACTTGAAGACATAAAATGTCAAACTGGTTTGAACGTACGCAGTTACCAGTTCGGGTCACTGCCGTTTGAATTTTCTGTTTTTTACATTTCACCAGGGTGATCCAGGAGATGAAGGGGAAGTAGGTCAACCTGGACCACCTGGACTAAACGTAAGATAATTAGACTAAAGAGTAAGTGTGCTGTGCAGCGTTTGTTTACGCTGTAGTGAGTTTACCTGAGCAATGTCCCCTTATTTTAGGGAGCCAGTGGGAATCCAGGAAAGCCTGGATCCTCAGGTGATCCCGTAAGATTACTTAAAAGAATTTAATTTCTCACTCTTGCTAAAATGGTTACAACCTTTATAATGCATGACATTAATTGATGTTCCCTTTTGGTCTCCTGAGCTGTTGTTTTCTGTTTACTTATGTGTTTCTGTCACCACCAGGGTGTCAAATCCAGGAGAGGTGAGAAGGGGGATCCAGGATTCAAGGGAGCCCAGGTAATTTTCTTGTCCATCTGTCCGGTCTGTGGTTGGTTAACTGATTAGATCAGTGAATCAGCTTGTTTTGTTTGTTCAGGGTCCTCGTGGACCTCCAGGTAAACCGGGATCAAAGGGGCACGCAGGGCCAACGGGACTTGAGGGACTTGGAGGATATGCAGGGCTACCAGGACTTCCTGGACCTGCTGTGAGTGTAAAAAATAAATATATATTTAAAAAAACATGCTCACTTATGATGCTAAAGCTTCTGTAATATCAGATCTTATTTCATATCTTCATCCAATGTTGTAGGGCTTTGATGGCATCATGGGAGAGCCAGGGAAGCAGGGAAAAGATGGCTCCAAGGTGAGTTTGAGCAAATAGTTGAATCTGTTTATCTTGACTCTTTTTCTTTGCTGAAAAGTGAATTTTGTTGTGCAAATATGATGTGATGTAGGGAAACCGAGGACCAGCTGGTATTCAAGGAAGTCCTGGATCTCGAGGCAATAAGGTAAGGAGTCTGAATAATTCATATCTATAAAAATAAATGAGTGTTGTCAGCGTTAATCTCGTTAAATTGACGTTAACGCCATAACCGCATTAACGCGGCAAATCTCAGTTAACGACTTACCGCGGATCACCCCGTGCGTGGGGCTGCATGGCGTCAACACATTAGCGCGGTTAGCTTTTTAACGCGTTAATGCAGTTATGGCTGACAGCACTAAAATACATCAATATATTTGCACAGAAATTTAGTTTGACAGAATGTTGCATATCTCAGTGTGACCTTAAAGATCAGAGGCCAAACTTGGTATTTAACCCTTTAAGACCTACCATAGAACCAAGTCCGCCAGAGCTTATATTATATTTTTACATGCTGTGGAGCCATTTTTGGGAGTATTTCAAGTTGCTATACATCAATACAACCATTATAGCCCAAATTTTAATAATATGTATGCATTAGGTGCATAGTAATTACATAAATTCCAAAAAGTGCAATAAACTACAAAAAAATTGAAAATCGTTTTTGTTTTTTTAACATAAATTTCTAGTTAGAGAAATTTAAGAGGCTTATCCCTCAAAACTGTAAATACAAAAAAGTTGCACAAAATAGTTTCCCACCACAGGAAATTTATTTTGAGTGTCTTCATAGTTTTATTTTTGAAATACACCAATTTTTATATACTGCAGGAAAAACAAAAATAAATATTATAATGCAAATTTGCAAAAACAAACAGCATATGCATCAAAATAAACTATTTCCAGCAGTGCAATATGAGTCCTAAGCATCCCAGAAACGACACAGAAAGTCATAAAGTCAAACATAACTTTTAAAAACACCAGTATAGGCTCATGAGGCCCTGATAGTAAAAAAAACTACATTTCCGCAAAATGACATTACTTCCGGTTTCGGGCAGTGCTGATGGACATAGGAAGTGTTATGAACAGCTGATCGGATCGGCAAAGGGTGTTTCTGGAATATTATGTTTTTGTTGCTACAAGTGCTTTTTATGCAGTTTTTGCAAAGCTATATGTGGAAGGAAACTGTGACCGAGGACAAGCTGATGGCATAAGATGTAAGTACGACTCCTCCGATTTCATATGCAAAAAAAATTATTGCGCTACCTTACGTGGTTGCAGAGCTACTGGGATTTAAAAATAGTTACGCAAAACAGAGCATGCCTGCACCGACTGGCTTTAAAGGGTTAAAAGACATTTTAAAAAGCAAAGTCAACATAAAATTGCAAAGGAGGTGTTTTTCAGCTTTTTCTTACTTTTAATATTTCCAAAAATATGTGAACTGTAGTATTGTAGAGGGAGCAGTGTTGTAACATTTCTTAACCATTAACAGTCATTCTTCTTGTCAAAGGGTCGGGAAGGTCGAGCGGGATTTTCTGGAATCCCTGGTCCTGTTGTGAGTATAAGTGACAACATGTTCAGTATAGATACTTATGTTTGTATTATTTATGTATTTATTTGTTATTGCAGGGACAGATGGGGACATCAGGAGAGAGGGGACTTCAAGGAGAACCTGGTATTAAGGTTCCTATATGGTTAAAGTTCTTACTCTGTACTTGCATGACTGCGCTGTTAATTGTTGTTTTTTTTTACATCTGTGACTGAAGGCATCGACCAATCAGTGCATTGAAAAAGCTCTTACTATTGCATTAAACAGAGGCATGTCAAAGAGTTCACACTGTGTTTGTACCTGATTGTGTACCCATCTGTTTAGGGGAAGATTGGAGTCCCGGGGATGCCGGGTTCAAAAGGCCTGAAGGTGACCATGCTGTACATGTAAACATTAGAGAAACACATGTTTATAGCTTTAAAACAGAATTGATCTATCCACCACACATGACATCTGCTTAAGCTACTATCCAGATGATGGCACTATTTATATACCTCCTCAGTCTCTATACTCCCAGCCGTTCTTTATGATCATCTGGTCAGCTACAAAGCAACGTTCCAGTAAGATTCAGGAACTTGTTTCATTGGCAGATTTTTTCACTTATTTCAAGGTAAAATATCTTGTATTCAGTGAAAAAATCTGCCAATGAAACAAGTTCCTGAATCTTACTGGAACGTTGCTTTGTAGCTGATTTTGTCTTATTTTAAGTGTAATGAGATAATTTTGACTAGAAATAAGACAAATATACTTGCTGAGAGTTTGAGTTTTTGCAGATACTCATTTCTCTGCATAATCATCTCTGATCTCTACTTACTTATGCTTTTGTTTGCTCTCTATTTTCTCTATTTTACTTTGTTTTAATGACTTACTGTTCAGTGTAATCATTTGCCATTGTTCCTTACTGTGAAGCACTTTGGTGTACCCCCTGGTTTTAAACGTGCTATATAAATAAAATTGTATTGTATTTATATGGATTTCAAATATATGGTAAATTTTAACTCCTTTTTTTTATTCACACTAGAAAAAACAAATAGAAAAAAGGAGACATTTCTTTCATTTTTCAGGGATTTAAAGGTCATCTGGGCCACAAGGGGCAGGATGGCAGTCGTGGAGCCTCGGTAAGACTAACCATGTGCTGTGTTTGGAACAGAAGCCTCCCTTATTAATGGGAATTATTTTTCTTTTTATGTATTTATTGTTATGGGTTTGTTATTCCTACAGAACAAAATGGGTTAAGTGTTCCAGAATCAGATTTGATCCTTTCTTCTTTAGGTTAATAGTTAACATTTAATCTGTCAGAAATGATACTTGAGCAGTAATATTACCAGGGTAACAGATATTAAACTAATATGATCTTTGCCTCAGGGACCTGTTGGTGCAAATGGAGTGAATGGAGCGGTCGAACTTCCAGGACCTAAAGTGAGCTCGTCCTGTTATATGACAGCTGCATTTGCTTATCCTGGAGTGGGACAAGTTATTATCTCATGTTCTCATTTCCACAGGGAATGCCTGGAAAAACAGGACCTCCTGGATTCCAAGGCCCTGTAGGAAAGAGTGTAAGGCAATTTTTAAATTCTTGCTTCATGAAACATTGTTAGTATTTTTGGAGACTATGGGAGTGACTGTAATAAATGAATTCATTTATTTATTAAGATGAGGATCTAAAGTTTTACAACAGTGTCCTGTGATCACTCAGCACAGTGAATTATGTGACGTTAGGATCATAGCGTTGTGTCATTCGACTTCCAGGGAGAATCTGGCAGCAGAGGAACGAAGGGGACATCGGGACAGCCAGGAAGGAGAGTATGTTACTGTGCAGCTGTATGGAGAGTACTCCTGTGTTTGTTGAAAGAAAATAATGAAGCCTTGAAAATTCAACCCAAACAATGATATATGAATGTAGACTTTCTGGAATTTGTGGTACTTTCTTTATAGCCAGACCAAAAAATCCAATCCTGATGTTTCCTTTAGGGGGTTGTAGGTAAACAAGGCCCCAGCGGACTAACAGGAAGTAAAGGATTTAAGGTATGAGCCTCACATCTTCATTACTAAGTAGCAGGTTTATCAGTCACTCGGTTATTTAGCTCCTCATATGCTAAGATAACGTTTGTGCTGTGAAGGGTACAAGAGGAGAGGAGGGACCGAAAGGAATACAAGGCCCCCGAGTAAGTGAATTAGTCCCTTATTTTCTACTATTGCCTGTTCATTATTTATAAGTGTTTCTCTAACTTCTTACTAAAGTCAAGTTCTTGTCATTCTCCAGGGAGAGATGGGCATGCCTGGACCACAGGGATACAGAGGCGCTCCTGTAAGATCATTTTAATTATTTGTCCATACAAAACGTTCATCCAGTCCTTTGTTTACACATTCTTTTGGTCAACTTATGCCTTTGATTTTATTGTGGTAAATGTCTTGATGTTTGAGAATGTGAGAATGCTGTAGCCCAGGAGGTCGGACGCACTGATTGGTCAGCGGTTTGAGTTTCTACACGTCAGCATTGGTTTGTGAGTTAATTAGAGAATTAGATGAAGGCAGGTGTGTGGAAAAGAACGTTTTTCATTGGACTCTGTGCAGTCCTGTGATAACGTGCCACCACCTTTAGCAGTAGTAACTTGAAGTAATAGTTTTCTGTATAATTTTCAGTTTCTCGTGTCGTGGAGGAATTTTGTCCAACTTCTCTTGAACTTTATTTTAAGGTCGCTTCAATTCATTGAGGTTTGGTACCATTTGTGTCATGGTCTGTGTGCGGGGAGGCAGCAAAGGACCCAAAATGCAGACTTGCAATTTGTTTGTATTGCATTCAAAAAATTCAAAAATTTGTGGCATTAATTTGTTAGCACACACCTGAAAGCTCCAGACCAACATCTGCTTCTATAGAGATAGTCACACTTGATTAATCAAGTGCATTTGACGAGCAGCAGCTTGCTGCTACCTTCACTCTTAAACTCCGAGCTCCGAGCGTGGGCTTTGTTTTTCACATGACTGCAGCTGTGTGTGTTTTCTACACACAGCATGTGAACGTCTTTGAGTATTTAACTAACAGACTTCAATCAGATTGTATAAAACCAAGAAATATTTTTAGTCTATGAACTTTTTTCTCTGTTTTTTAAACATACTTTAATCCAACAGGGTATCCACGGCAACATTGGACCATGGGGTGAAGTTGGGTCCCGTGGTCTTCCAGGCGGTCAAGGTCCACAAGGCCCAGTTGGTCCTCCTGGAGTTACAGGTTACTCTGTAAGGTTTTGTTGTTTTTTGGGGGGGGTTTTTGCTTTTGTTTTCAAATATAATTAGAAGTTTGGGAGCCTAATTGTTTTATTTCATACACAAACTGAAGCTCTGTCAGTCTGTCCAACATAACTGTCAAGGTTGGCTGTGTACAGAACTCAGGCATTTTACATAATGAGGAGATAAAAAACCAAGTAGGAACACAGCTGGGGTTAACTAAGGCTACGTTCACACTGCAGGCGAAAGCGCATCAAATCCGATTTTTTTGACCCTATGCGACCCATCTATCCGACCATGGTGTGACAGTGTGAACGGAACAAATCCGATATTTTCAAATCTGATCTGGGTCACTTTCGTATGTGGTGCTGAATCCGATACAAATCCGATGTTTTAGAAAGCGACTGCTGTTTGATGGTCAAGTCGCATTAAATCCGTCTTTTACGTCACTGACACAAGACAGACGCCAATTATCAGCGCCAGAGAAGACATCGCGAACGCTTCCTGGCCATCCAGTGAAACTGTTGGGAAGACAACGTGAACATTTTATTTGTTCTGTATAACCTGCAGATTCTGACAGAAATCTGCAGCTATCCTTTGAAGCACCGCTCCTCTCTTAAACGGCAATAAGGATCATTATTAGGTTATTTACATTATTATGTAAATAACAAAATAACTTAAAGCAAAAATTGGGAAACGTAAAGTCCGAAGTCTTTATATTAAGGGCCATCAGTCAAACAACACTGTTTGCTCTGGGTCTAAACAGAGCGCGTTGTGTGTGACGTCTTCTTTTGCGCATGCGGGCCGCTTTGAGCGTTCACACTAGAGCGCGTTTGCTGTCGCATTTTAGTTGTAGTGTGAACAAGCAGACAAAAAAATCGGATTTGAGCATCAAGACCTGCAGTGTGAACGTAGCCTAAGATAATGACTGTGGAGGACGTTAACCAAGACAAAGGATACAGAGAAGAACAGTCACCAAAATAAAACAGGAAGAGAGCCACAACTGAAAAGGATGCAAGACTAAATTGACACAAGTTACAAATCATAAATACAAAGATGAAGAAGAAGCCAGATGTGGAAACATAAGAGAGTCATGAATAAACAGGGATACAAGGAAAATAATCCAAAATACAAAACTAGAAAAACCCAAAATCCCAGACTCAGAACACATCATTAGTCACACTTTGTTCATCAAGTCAACTGTCAGCCACGTGAAAGGTCACAAAGCCTTCATGCTAATCTCTCTGCAGTTTTGCTTAACTGCAGGATGAACAGTCCTCTTGTGATAACTGCAGAAACACTCGGGAGCGAACAGACACTTTCTTTCTTTCCAGTTTGCCATGAACTCATAATTAGTTTCTCTGGGTCAGTCACCAGACCAAGTCGAGCCCGGTGTCACCAGACCTGTTGGAAGGATGATGATGTCGGGTTTATTTACACCGCATTTGAACTGATTCGAAAACTTTGATAAGCCAACGCATGTACGATTAATTTTCATGGATTTAACCCTGCTCTTTTCAAAAGACAAGATGGATCCGAGTCACCATTATAATTTGACGACTTTTGGTTGAATATTATGGTTGTTCAGGCAAATACAGGCAATTTGCCGCCGTTTTTTGTGAGATATTGTTAATAATATTAATTTTCAAGATATCTCTGACAGAAAGGTGCTTTTTAAAATTATGCCTTGGCATTAATGCCGAGCAGTTCGATGCACCAATAGTAACGTTGAATTATAATCTTTGCTTTATTCTTTGTTGTGCATCAAATTATAGAACAATTATTTATGCAGTATTTGGTATAATGAACATGAAGCAAATACATCCCCTGAAATTAAAATTCAAAATACATTTGGTAGAAAAACCTGCTCTACCAAACTGCGAGCTCACTAAGACGGAGCTGTCTTCCTTTTTTGATAGGATGTTTCTTTATATTATCTCCCTGTTATTATCTTAAATTTCTTAACACGCAGGGTAAAGATGGAAGTCAGGGGCCATCTGGATCAGGCGGTGTAAAAGGAGATAAGGTGAACCTCTGAGCTTCTCTAAGTATCTTATCGCCTACTTAAATACAGAAAAAGCTGTATGCAAGTGCACGTCAATAATGCTGTGTCATTTGAAGTAACTTAAGACGGTTCTTCTTCTTCTGTTTGTCTCTACATGTCCTGTGTTCAGGGATCCAGAGGACCTGTGGGGCAGGAGGGAGTTGCTGGTCTCGATGGTGAGGAGGTAGATTGATTAGCTTGGTCATGGATTCAACTGTTTTCAATTTCCATTTAACATAAAATTAACAAAACCTAAAGTAAGAAAACTAGAGATGCGAAGAGTACAGAAAGCACAGATAATACAAGAGAAAGAAAGAAAATCAAAGGAAAATGAAAGACCTAGAAGATCATAACTGTTAGAGTAACTTCAGGAATATGAGCCCATGAAACAGGACAAACTGAGCGTTGTTCTTGTCTTTAGGGTCCAAACGGACAGAAAGGATTTCAAGGGCCAGCCGGCCAAAAAGGCTTATCTGTGAGTCCAATATCAATCCCAAAATTAAGAATAAAGGTTAATTTTGCTATCAGTTTACTGCAGCATTCGTGAAAATTGTGTTACTTATAAAACTGTGATTTCAGGGTGTTATGGGAAACACAGGACCTCCTGGGCAGAAAGGACCAAAGGGGTCTGAGGGTGAAAGAGGAAACCAAGGTTCACAGGGACCGAAGGGGCCACAAGGGAAACGGGTATGTAGTAATCCTAAAGTATAGTTTACTGTAACACCACTGACTTCCATACAGGGATATTAATTCAAAAAGAGCAAATATAAGGAAGACTGTGCATCGCCTCTGCCTTGTCTTTACTACATGTGATTTTCTCAGGGGTACAGGGGTGCACCCGGAGATAGAGGACAGCAGGGGCCCCCAGGACTCAAGGTCAGTCATTTTAACTCATACATGTAGAAACAATGATGAAGAAAACCTGAGAACTGGTGTTGCCTGTAAACAAAATGTCTGAGTGAAAACCTGATAGTGATAATGATGATTTACTGACAGGGTGAGCCAGGCCCCAGGGCTTTATCAGGCACTCGTGGGCCATTTGGAGCTGGAGGCCAAACTGGGGCAGCAGGAACGAAAGGCCAGAAAGGGCTCCAGGGACTCGCTGTTAGTACCTGAGGGGGACTCTGTTTGCTTCAGTCATCTTAACAACATGTGCTGTGTCTATATGTCTCTACAGAACATGCATGTTTGACTATAATGCTGCTGAACAACATTATATCTGTTTTTCTTTCAGGGTCCTCCTGGTACTACAGGCCCTCCTGGACCCACTGGACCGTCACCAGCTGTACGTTTTACTTTACCTAACATTAACTTTCCATTATTATACTGACTGTGTGCTAAAATGTGCACTAAATGTTCGATATTGGTATCACCTCGATGTGTTTGTGTTGAATTTGAGTTAAAAATGTTAACTAAATCACACACACTCACCGGACACATTATTAGGTACACTTAAAGTACTAATATCAACCCCCTTTTGTTTTCAGAACAGCTATGATTGTAGCATAGATTCACCAAGGTGCTGGAAACATATATTGACATTAACATGATAGCAGATCTGCTGGCTGGACATCCATGACGTGACTCTTCTTCATTTGAATTCAGTTACTGTCCAATTTTGGGGATCGCATGCAAACTATAGCTTCAGTTTCCAGTTCTTAGCTTCTAGAAGTGTCACCTGGTGTAAGCTCGTGCTGCCGTAGCCCATTTGCATTTAGAGATGCTCTTTTGCATACCTTGTTGTAACAAGTGATTATTTAAGTTAGTGCCTGTCTTGCTATCGGCTCGAAACAGTCTCCCCTGATGCGCCGCTGACCTCTAGCACAATGTCATGGGCTCGAGCTACGACCCGGACTGAAGGGGACAAGACTCAGATCAACCAGTCTGAGTCACCAGCTGTTCTCAAAGTCATTTAAACCCCCTTTGTTCCCCATTCTGATGCTCAGTGTGAACTTCAGCAGGTGTCATTTGAACAGGTGGACCTAATAACGTGCTGTGGATAGGCAACAGTGACATGTTGTGGAGCATATTTAAAATATATAACTTAATTTAGGCCTGAATGTGAAAAAAAAGGTTTAGTTGTTTCAGTGATATGTAAGTTATTTATACATTATGTGTCTGTTTTTAGGGATTACCTGGCAAGAGAGGTGCTGAAGGTAAAGGTGGAGTGCCTGGAGCAAAGGTATACTGTACCTTTTACACATGTTAACTGTCCAGCTAAAACATTTCACTGGTTTTTAACTGTCTCTGTTGGTTTTTCTATAATTCAGGGCAGTCTTGGTGAAAAGGGTATGCTGGGTCTTCCAGGCATTCGGGGAGACGTGGTTAGATTTCATTATTTGTTTCACTCTGTGGCCATAATAAATATGGTCAAGCATATTTAATATCATGTGTGCAAACACAGTGAGGCCATGTGTCTGCATAACTGTCTTTGTTTCCCAGGGCATCAGAGGTATGAAAGGCGTAAAAGGCGAGTCTGGAACACGAGGGAAAGTGGTAAGACTGGTAAGAGAGCATTCTTAAGCATTTAAATTGCAGTTTTAATACTTAATAGTAAGTGCCATAAATGACTAAATGATCTTACCGGATCATCTGACATATTTCAATTCCAAAAATTACATTTCTATACTATGCTGTTGCTATTATAGTGTGATTCTAGAAATTTCTGAGTATATTTCACTGTGATTTTAGGGTACAATGGGGAAGATGGGGGTCATAGGCTCTCCAGGTCCTAAAGGTCAAACTGGACCTGGTGGCCCTCCTGGTCCTCCAGGAACTAAAGGAATCCAGGGACCAAAGGTAAGAAGAAAGCGTGGCTCAAACATGTAACTCTAAAGCAGTTTCTTAATTCCCTTAAATAAAGCTACCATAGTGAAGGTACTTTTAACCTGCTTCATGCAACTTTCATGTCACTGAATTCATTTTGAAGGGAAAAGGTGGTGAGCCAGGAAGTAAAGGGACACAAGGAGCTGCTGGGCAAATTGTGAGTTTTGTTTTAAGCCGAGTGTCCCTTCACATCTCAGACTGGAGTTACAAGATTAGTTACTGTGACTATTATGAAATATAGTTTATTTCAACATTTACGGATAGTATAAATCCCACGTGCACTGGGTGTGTATTATGCTGTCTTACCAATTTGATGCTATTTTTTAATCTGTTTTAACATGATTATCTGGTGTCTTAATTGTTGTTCAACACTTTGTGACTGTTATGTCAGTGAAAAGCACTAAATAAACTTTACTTACTTGCACTGGGTGTCTGATAAACACAGATTAATTATTCAGTCTTCTGTAAAGCCTAATTAATGATTCACTCTGAATTAAATAATAAACAATGAGTGTTAACAGTAAAGGTTAAGCGGTTTTGGCCTTGATTTCATCCGGTGAAGTTTCTTGTCTCTTTTGTAGGGACCTGAAGGCCTGCTGGGGAGGTCAGGACCTGCTGGACCACCTGGAAAACCTGTAAGCATCCCAACTAACAAATGCAATTCTTAACACGAAACACCAACAATGCTCATTTCGTTTGATCGTCTTTTCTCGTTTTTGCGATCATATTCTCAGGGACTGAGCGGTCTGGATGGGTTGCTGGGAGTTCAGGGTAATGAGGGAGATCCGGTAAGAAAGTTTGCCTTACTAAAATTGATTTTAACACATTTCACAATTTTTTTATTAATTTCTTTTTCCCCTGCTAACTTCATAGGGTGACGTTGGTCACAGAGGAGCTCCTGGAACACCAGGCAGGCCTGGCAAGACAGTAATTTCACTAAGGAAATGAATGACATGCAAATCTGCACAATTACAAATGGAATAAGTCTTTTGCAGCTAAGCTTTTCTTACAGATTATTGCATTATGTGGTATTAAATACATGCATACCTTGCAGGGAAAACCTGGATCTCCTGGGATTAAGGGAAACGCTGGAGAAGGGGGGGTTAAGGTAAGCAATCATTTATACATTTCAGGTGACTATTATAAGCACGTTAATATTATAGCATAGTGGTGCTTATAAATTTGTCTTTTTTATTTTGTTTGATGTAATGCATTGTTGAAATGTTTCTTACTAAGGTCTTATTAAATATCTCAGGGTACGAGGGGTCTAAAAGGAACACGTGGGCCTCCTGGACCAATTGGGCCAAAGGTAAAATGATTAGAGAGCAGAACGTGATCGCTAATAAAAACCTTACCCCTGTTAGTGTGAACATTTGCATCATCTGCTGCTGTTGGTTCAGGGTATTCCAGGGCTGAGAGGAGAGAAAGGTGAATCTGGAAGTCTTGGCACGAAGGTAAGAGTCAGTTACATATTTTGTGCATATATTCATTCAATATGTCAGAATCTCATCTAACATATATTTGTGTATTTGTAACTCCTTTAATTTCTTTTCTTTCTACAAAGGGTCTCCCAGGTGATACAGGGATACGTGGACCAATAGGTCCACCTGGATTAAAGGTGAATTGCAGTCAATTTAAATATAAAATGCTTTAAATGAAAAAGGTGGATTTTGGATTAATCTACCACATGTCTGACTTCTATATCAGGGGAATCCTGGTTTGCAGGGATTTAAAGGTGAAAAGGGTGATAAGGGGAAACAGGTCAGTCACACTTTACTCCCATTATTGCATTGTTTTTAATTATTTGTATCCAATAATCAATTAACCATTTACTACAGGGGGACACTGGTCCTCGTGGTCCAGCCGGGCAGGAAGGCTTCTCAGGAATCCCTGTAAGTTGCTTTGATGTTCAGTTTTTTGTAATGACTTACTAAAATATCTTGATTAGTGACGTTTTACTGAATAATATTTTAAAAATTGTCATGTTGTAACCTAAAAACTTTGTTTGATACACTCGTCTCTGTTACAGGGCCACCTTGGAGTGAAAGTGGGTGACTGACTTTGTATTTCTATAAATGTTTAAGTCTTAGCATTAGTCAATTTTAATTCAATGTTGTTCATTGCTGAATTGTGTTTGGGTCACTACAGGGAATGAAAGGTGTCCGAGGAAGGAGAGGTCCAAAGGGAACGAAGGGCAAGCCGGGACCTCAAGTAAGAGTTTGCAAACACAATATAAGCGAAGAAGCTTTGGACCTGATCGCTGAACACAAATGCAACATGCTAGATTGTTTTGAGATGTATGTAAAGCTTGATCCATTTCTCCGAATATCCTGAAAGTTTGCATCATGCCATGCCTTTCACAGGGAAAACCAGGAGCCCCTGGCAAATGGAAGCCTAAGCAAAGACCTGTTAAAAAATATAGTTTTCAAACTGCACAGAGTTCAAAGCAAAGCCCCGGCCTCCCGAAGCAAAGCGAAGGGCAAGAAAAAGTTGGTGCAAGCTTTCTTATTCCATGCACATTATATACAGTCACAGAATGTCCTCATTTGCTCTGCAGTCTAGCTTTAAAAGTAAAACATGTTAAGCCGACTGAGTGAATGCTGAACACTGTTTTCCTGTAGCCCAGGGAAGTGACAAGGAGATGGTCTCAAGAAGATGAAGCAGAGTTCTTCAGCTGGCCCCTGGGCACCAGAGATGATCCTGGAACCACCTGCCATGAGCTGAGACTCATACGTCCACATCTAAATGATGGTGAGTATCTGATGACTGTTTTATTACGTTTTCCCTTATATATTTCAGTACGTTCCATTCAACTTTTTTTTTCAGGTTACTTTTACATGGACCCGAACCAAGGCTGTCCCTGTGATGCCTTGAAGGTCTTCTGTAACTTCACAGGAGGTGGAGCAACCTGCATAGAACCTCTTTACTCAAAGGTTCAGTCATTTTCACCTGTGAAGCTTAACGTTATCAAAGAACTAACTTCATTATCACAATATCAGCTACAAAACATGGAACTTGAGAATGTTTGTAGATAGTTTGGACTGCATTTATGTCAGATTATTGAAGGAAAAAGTAACGTGTGTGTGTGTGTGTGTGTGTGTGTGTGTGTGTGTGTGTGTGTGTGTGTGTGTCTTCTCTGATTAATGCTACTACAAAAATCTTGTGTTTTTATGAATGGCTTCAAAAATATACATCATATCCCACTGTTTAGATTCAAATATGGAGGGACCCAGAAATGATGAGGACATATGTGGAGAGGTTTACTCACCACCAAAAAGTAAGTATTAAATAATATGTGGCTAGATTCAGGAAACTATTATTTCTAGATGTGCTTTCTAACATTAATGCTCTTTCTGATAGTTTGATTACCCTGGTGTGGAAGCTGTCCAGCTAAAGTTTCTGCGGTTACACAGCCACTCATCTTTCCAGCACATCACTCTCAGCTGTACAGAAAACCAGACGAGTACTGCTGCCACAGATGATTTAGCCAGTCAGATTATCCACTTACTGGGAGACTCTGGCAAAGAAATCGATTCACACTTTGTCACAGTGTCCAGAAAACACTCTGAGGTAAGACTAAACGATTTGTGACAGTTTTTGGGGGCGTTGCCAGCATCTTTCTATAACTGTGACTGTAATACAAACAACACATTCGTTTTACATTGTTGTACATAAGGCGTCTGAGAAAAAGAAGTGGAATCGATTACTTTCAGGAACCATGCATCACATTTGTGTCAGATCAGAGTCCTTTTATTGTGAAGGAAATTTATGAAAGGAAACACCAGTCTCCAAAAGATAAATAAGTCATGTGTCGGTACAAATAAATCAAACACTGTCTGAACTATGAGAACTTTTTAATTTCAGCTTTTGTACGATAGCCTTACAAGGTAAATTGCACACGTTTTATAGTTATGGGAATAAAGGAGATTTAATAAAACAATATTAGACTTGAGATTGCTCAGAGATACCATACAGCTGCTAAAAATCATTTCCCTCGCCATGCACAAGGGTCTAGTCTCTGGAATTAGTTATGAATCCAGGAAGAACAAACTGAACATATCTCCTTGTGTTTGCTTTTTGTCTGCTGCTTCTCCAGCTGGAGCTGTTTGTCAGGGTTCAAGGAGATATGGAATTACTTCCTGTCAGACATCTGGGTGTAGAGACGAGCAGTGTCTCCAAGCTTGTCTCTGAGATCTCTGTGGCATTGGGACCCGTCTGCTTCTTGTGACCGGTGTGTCTGTGTGCGATGAAAGTCTCAAGAGCTCAAGAAAGAAGGCAGCTGGACGTCTTTAGGATTGTGAAGACGTTTCACATCACATCCAATACGCTTCTTCGGTTCTTAAAGCAACTGGTGGAGACTCCCAGGAAATAAACCCCAGTGGTGGGTGTCCTGTGTGGAGTAAGTCCTGAAGGTTGCTAACCCAATACTGATCATATGAGTCACCACATGAGCCAAGGTGGGAAAAAAGACTATTATTCCAGCTTCCTATCATCCAGAAAGCTGGAATAATATAAAATATGTATATTTGAAATGAATAATGAAATAAAAGTGCTCAGTTTTGTATTTTGCTGTATATTTATTCAATTGTAAAATTGTTAGATTTTTGACATATGAAACATTTTTGTTATGAAAATGTAGCATCAAATGTTCAGTTCAGTTTGACTTATAACTTTGTATTTACACTAAAAGTCTTCGTTTTTTACTTTGTCCTCAACTCAGGGGAATGTCGTCCCGCACTATCAAAATAAAACAATGGCTCTGAATGAAACAGAGCCCGTTGTTTTGTTTGTACTGAGCCTGCGCACATCACACAGTAAGGGGTAATCCTCAAATAGTTACAAAGTAAAAACTTGTTGATGTTTTCTAGGCCTAGTGCCACATTCCTACGTTCCCAGTATTGTAGAAGCACTGGTTTGTGAACAGGTTTGCATCTTCTCAACCATCCGGGTGCAGTGATGTCAACAAATTTTAATATTCTTGGGAGAAGAAAGAGTGGCTGGAGTATGGCAGCTGACTCTGGCTGGGTTCACCATAGAGAGACACAACATGTCTTTTATAACAAGCCTGTTGGGAAATTCTTCCATTCTCAGTGTCCTAATTCACTCTTGAGCCTTTGGACTGACTTAATCACAGACCACAGGAAGCTCCATGGTTATATGCACCATCCTTATGATGTCTGATACAGTGAATGTCTTGTTGTCTCTTTGAAATTAACCGTTTTGCCACAGTAGGCTCATGAGACCAGTTATATGAAGGTTTGACAGCATGTCACGCTCTACTTAGAGGCGCTCCATCAAAAACGCGTTTAACTTGCACACGGGCTCCAAAACTCTTTTAAATGAATGGGGCAGTAATTTACAAAACAAAATCTTGTGAATATTTCCCATGAAATGTCTTTATAACTTAGCATATCTTTGCTTGTTTAGGCTTGTGAACTTAGTGTAAAGATGTGGAGTGTGATAAAAAATAAAAACATGTAGCATAAAAATAGTAAAAGTAACATACTGATAAACCATGCTTCTGTCTGATTGTAAACGTTTCTCCTAAAAAACAGCCTATTCTTCCTAGAAATATGTTTTGATTCATGGTACATAACGAAAGGTGTGGTGGGTTTACTGTGTGGATATTTTGTATTTCTGGAGAGAAATGAGAACCATTAAAGCAAAATACCAACAAACATGACTTGAAAAGGTGGATGAGTGACCAGACGTCTCACTTTATGTTAGACTGCACCGCATTCTTATCCACTGTCAGAATTTGTATAGTTTTTGTTTTTTGATCAGTTTTTATTTTGTTTTGACAATTTCTTTTTAATTCAACAAACATAGGTTTTCTTGTTTCATTGTATTGTTTATTGTTTGAAAATGTTTAGTTTTAGTTTATGTTTTAAGACTGTTAGAATTACTAATAATATTTCTTTGTATTACCGTATTTAGGGCAAATATTAGAGGCCAGATTTAGGAAAATCAGTTGCTATTAAAATAAAAACAGAACTTTTTGAAAGCAGGTGATTCACAGTCCTGTAGACATCCAAAGTCTCAATTAACACATCCATCAAAAACCTCATCGGGCAATACTTACCAAATTGATCAATACTAAAACTAGAGTTGTTTCCTATATTCATATTTTATTTTAATTCACAGAATTGTTTTTTCACTAATGAAACCTGGTGATTACCAGACAGCTACAGGTTTGGCTTGTTGGCAAATGGAAGGGAAGGACAAAGGGAACAGATTAGGTTACATTTTACAATAAAAACAAGCTTTAGCTTACAATTTCTCTTCATTTGTTAGTGTATTTATAAGTTAGGAAAACTGCACTGAAATACAATACAGTATATTTGACTTTCAAATGATCAATGCCAGAGCTTTAACCTGCATTGTCCCACACAAAGACTGCCACACCTCTAGTGTGTTAGGATATGGTCATCTTCAAAGGCTGAAGTATATTTTTTTTTAAGTCATTTTATGGATGGCATCATTGAAGGCTTGTTGTACTTGCTGACTTTAAAATGAAAAAAACAAAAAAACCCAATAACATGTCTATTAAGTTAAGTTCTTTTCATGTTCATTATATAACAGCAGACCTATACAGCCAGGCAGCAAGAACAGCTGTTCAGAAACACCAAAGAAATAAATAACAAATACATATATTTCTTCTTCTTCTTTGCAAGCTACATATTCGTTGTTTAAGACAATACAATCAGTCAGACCTACAATTATCGTCACTGTTTGATGAACACTTATTTACAGCTATGCATGACAGCACATCCCAGGGACCCCGGGAATGCCACTGCACTAAAAGTAGCTGCTAAATGTATTTACAGACAGCATCGTACAGGTAATGTCGCCGTTTGTTCTGAGATCAGCTACCACACATCATTTTTTTTAAGGATTTGAGTGTTAGAAAAAGAAATCCCGGGGCCCGTTCTTCGTACCTCGCTAAGTAGGTTAGCCGGATTAGATTGTTGACGATTTCGCGTGATCTTGGATCGTTCGGTTCCCCGAAGCTCATCCGGGACTTGCTGTCATAGCAACAGAGCCGTAAGCGTAAACCTGCTCGGGAGCAGGTTTACTTTATGTAAACAGGATTAGATCGCGGCCACGCAGGTATGTCCGCGTCATTCATACGAAAGCAACAGCGATATTCCACCACTGTTTCACCATAAATAAATAACATCAATGTAACTAAAGACAATGCAGCACCTGATCCATTTATTGATTTCACACAGGTCATTTCCTAAAAAAGGGAAATGTACTATTAACATTCTATTACATGTATGTGATTATTACAGATTTAATTCATATTTCAGAGTAGCAATTGTAAATTACTTCGTGTAATCAAGATGAGAGACCACGGCTATAAAAGCGAAGGTGGATTTGGGAAGCCTGTCGCAGCCATGTCCTGTCCGTATACGCGAGCAACCCATTGCGGAAGGTGCAAGATTGATAAGGAGAGTCCTCAGAATTCAGCGTATATTGCGGGACAGACAGGATCCTTTAGCTCAGCGCGACAGTGTGCTCATAGAGAGATATCGATTTTCCCGTGAGGGTATTATTTACTTAACCAACTTGTTGACGAGGGGGTGCAGGACCACCACCTGTCTTTTTTGTTGCTCTGCCCTTTTCTTGGTTGCTGTTATAAACAAACAGATTATTCCAGGGTCTCTTTCCAAGAGACTAAAATCAATATAAGTGATAAATATTACCTTCTGTAGAATATTCTTATATTTCACTTTTACCTGTTCCCATGTTCTAGTGGGTCCTGTCGTGGCTCTAATGTGACAGAGGATAAAATATAACATATTATAATATAATGTAATATAATATTGGATAATATAGTGTAATATAATAAATCTACCCTACCGCCTACTGGTGTTGGCCAGAGGGGCCGATGGCGCGATATGGCAGCCTGGCTTCTGTCAGTCTGCCCCAGGGCAGCTGTGGCTACAACTGTAGCTGCCTCCCCCAGTGTGTGAATGTGAGAGTGACTGAATAGTGGCATTGTACAGCGCTTTGGGTGCCTTGAAAAGCGCTATATCAATCCACTCCATTATTATTGTTATTATTAAATTACTTATGAGTTTAATTTGTCAGCAACTTCCTGCCAGCCCTCGCTCCTTGCTTTTGCAGCCTTTGCAGTGTTCCCTTGCGTTCTGATTAAACTCTGAAACTCCTGAAATCCCTCACTCAAGAGTTCTTGCTCTGCTGCCGAAAAATACCGAGCCGAGCGCGCTCCGTCGACATTTTCGCCGACCAATCAGAGGGTTGCCGATCAATGTTTCTACTATCGATGCGTAGCCCCTTTTACGACACCCAGTGATGTCACATTACTGCGTCCAGCTGTAGTAATCGTCAACAGCAGGTGTGTTCGGGGAACCGGATTAGCGAGCTCACGGTTAGCGCGATGATTTGATCTTGGATGTGTCATTTGATCTTGGATGTAGTAAGCGACGTACGAAGAACGGGCCCCGATGGTTAATTTTATAATCCTGCTACCCCGGGCAGTTTATATATATGATCCATATAATGAGTTTTGTCTACAGGTGGGTGGATCCAAATATTATCTACTGATTGGAAGGTTAGTGGTTCAATCCCTGGCTCCCCCAGCATGCCACACATTTAGTATCCTTGGGCAAGATACTAAATGTGTGTGAATGTTAGCTTTGAAGCATAGAAGATATGAATGGGTGAATGCGGCATGTTGTATAAAGCCCTCTGAGTGTTAGGTGGTGGCTGTGTGCGGACAGGGATAGGACCCAAGATGCAGACTCCAGAGACAAACCTAAACCAAAACAGCTTTAATGCTGAACGCAAACATAACATAACTGGGGAAAACTCAAAATAAACTAACACCAGTGGACTGGCAAAACACACAGCAAAATAAACAGTAGATCGCAACATGGACACAGAGAAACACAGGGCTTAAATACAGAGGGAGCAATCAGGGAATGAGTAACAGGAGGGAAAAACAGCTGGGGCAAATCAGGCCTAACGAGACCAGGGGAAGCAAAACCAGACACATAAACATCAGACATGGACTTCCAAAGTAAAACAGGAAACATAACACAGACTCACAGGCAAGCACTAAAAAAAAGGGAACAGAGACGTGGGACCAGGGCAGACACAGACACTGACTGGACGTGGAAATACAGCAGACAGGGGAGACAGCAACAAAGGAACACAGACAGAAAACCAAAACACTAAAACTCTAACCAAACCCCACCCAGAGGACCTTAACTAAGAAAAACCCGTAAAGCAAAGCTAGAATATAATAAAATAACAAAATCAAATAACCAGAAACACAAAACACTGGGTCACCGACCCAGGAACCCTAACACTGAGTGCTCCACGAGAACAGAAAAACGCTAAATCAGTCAATTTACCACGATACCAGCGCTGGCATTGGTATCGATACTAGTGCATTAGGACCAATACTTTGTTTCTATCCTTTAAGTTTAGGATGCAGCACACTAAATTGTGGTAAATGAATCGGGGTTTGGTTTCTTGTTTTTTTGTTTTTTTGATATATAAAAATATACCTCAAACATTCCCCATATTAATGACATTCATCTCATAACTCATGACATGTTCTCCCCTACATAAACTGTCTTTATAGGCTGAATGTATCAGTAATACTTGCTGTGTATTTATGTACTTTACAGTGTAGCACACCACTGGTTAAAGAATGATTAACGCGTGTAAGAGGAGTTCGGGAAAAGACACATTATAATCTATTATAATAAGATTTTTATTTTGAATCTAATTAAACTGCGAGACAAATTATTTCAGCTTGCAGCAGGAATACATCGCTTCATTTATGTTTTATCTATTTGTTAATCATTACAAATATAACCGTTTTGTTTGTTTTTTTAAATAATATTTCTTACGAAGCGGGTGACGTTTGAGTCTGACCGCGCTGGTCAGCAGTTTAGCGTCGGTGACGTCAAAAGGAGGAGAGACTTTCGACCAATCAGAATCGTGGGTGCTGCTCATCTTCTGTAGTGTTTATAGAATGGGGAAGGTGAGCAGCTGCTCGGGTTGTGGTGATTAGAGGAGTTTCACATCTGGGTTCGCTCTCATTAACGTCAGAGAGAGAGGCTTGAGAAGAGAGGACCTGGCGGTTGAAACGAGTAGGTATTCAGGAAATTGTGCTGCCCGCAATTTTACATTTCTGTCAGTGTCGGTCAACCCGTCCCGCAGGAGCGGACGATAAAACATCAAGTTGGCTGGTTTGACTAGCTTTAGTAAAGCTTGTATTGCATGCTAACAATATTCGCGAGCGTCAACAGGCAGATTTAGTATCAGAGTTAGTGCTAGCGGTGTATGATATTAACCCAGGTAGCGTTTTAGTTCAGCGAGCTCCATGAATTAGCCGCTGCCTGTCTCATTGAGGCTTGATGCCAGCTGGACGGGAGCTAACTCATGTGCTAGCTGCGTGTCCGTGTCATGTGAGAGTGATGTGTTTGCCCACTGGGTTTGTATTGTCAGTCAATATCAGCATCGATGTTAGGTGGCACAGCAGTGATGTGCTAGCTTGTCTTCCTTGTGTGTTCTCAGGGCTTGTCTCGTTTGTTCAAGAGCTGCCGCCGGTTCTTTCCCTTGTTTTAATGATTAACCTATTTGCTTCCGTAGGATGGAGAGCGAGGATGACGCTATTCTCCGGCTCCGCAGCCGA